GTTATTAATAATTACATATAACAGGATATTGTAAAAAGTAAGTTATGAAATTTTTATTAAAACGTTTCATACATACCATTATATTGGCTGGGCTGCAAAAATATTAGTTGTGGGCCACAAGTTTGACATGCTTGATTTAGAGTAGAGCCTTAGAGACTCAAGGTAAGGAGTCTGGAGTTTAAGTGTACTGAGAAGGAAAGGGAGTTTCAGTTACTGTATTTGAAAAGTTCAAACACAGCGCCGACTATGACCTTGGACTGCTCTACGTGCTTTACAGCTATGCACTCAATCATTTAACAAGCCTATGAGATCGATGCCATTACCATCCCTATTTTACAGATAAGGGAACGGAGGCCCACAGAGATTTCATGACATCATCCCAGATGCTTGGATATAGCAGAGCCAGGACAAACTGATGGATTTATTTATTTATTTTATTTTTTTAATATATTTTATTGACTTTTTACAGAGAGGAAGGGCAAGGGATAGAGAGTTAGAAACATCAATGAGAGAGAAATATCAATCAGCGGCCTTCTGCACACTCCCTACTAGGGAAGTGCCCCCAACCAAGGTACATGCCCTTGACCAGAATCGAACCTGGGACCCTTCAGTCCGCAGGCTGACACTCTATCCACTGAGCCAAAGCGGTTAGGGCTGATGGATTTATTTTTAAAGTTCACTCTGGTTGCAGTGTGGAGGACAAAATGTAGATGGGCAGGAATAGTCCAGGCCAGCGATCATGGGGGCTTAGACTCAGGGATGACAGTGGAAGAAGTTAGAATGGCTGGTGTCTTACTCTGTTCAGATTGCTGTAACAAAGTACCAGTATTTTTGCTTCTACAAAATGAAGCTTCTAACTGCATGTATTTTTATATACATGTATTTTCTGTCATGTATTTTTATATAATTAAAATCTATCTTTTTCTTGGCAGAACCTTTGGATTTGCTTAATATGTGGGCACATAGGATGTGGACGATATGTAAGTCGACATGCTTATAAGCACTTTGAGGAAACGCAGCACACGTATGCCATGCAGCTCACCAACCATAGAGTCTGGGACTATGCTGGAGGTGAACACCACTCATTCTCGAATTTGGGTTCATTCTGTATGAAAACTTCTCTGTCAGAATCTCTCACAGCTTGAAACCTTTCTGACAGCTGTGGCTAACTCAAGCCCTATACGACATTATTTCCTATGTCTGGTCTGAGTTGCACCTTATAAAGAAATTAATATTTTCACCTTAATATTTCCATTCTTGCCTTTCACTCTTTTT